GATGGATCTTACTCAGATCAGAGCTGTAACCATTTAACGAAATATTAAATTCAAAACCCGTAAAGCCAAAGCAACCAGACGTGAGATGCTGAAACTCACCCACAAAGCTGGGGGAAACTGCAGAGTCAGGCAGTTTTTCTCTGTGGGTTCGTCACTGGGAGTGGCTGCATTCACGAGCAAGGAGTCATGAGATGGAGATGTTGACTTAAAATAATGTGAGTAGCAGCTCCCAAACATTTTCTATGACTTATAATCAGCACATACTTTAGCTCATATTTGCACACAGCTCCTGTTGTGCAGTGACACCTCCCTGTTCTGGGGGCTTTTGTGAAGTGACTGTAAGAGTGACCTGTTGATACTGGACAAGTCACCAGTCTATACCAGGCGAACACACAGAAAGTGAGAAGACCTCAAACTCTCACATCCACAGCTAGAGCCGGATGAGAGTCACCAGTTAACCGTATCATTCTGTGGGAGGAGCACCTGCACAGACAGGTAGCAATAACATGCACGCGCCACACAGAACCACCCACTCGGTCCTTGTCTGGCTTACTTTACAAATCCTGTCTTATCTGTGGCCTTATGGATCCACACGGATCCTTTCTGTCCTCACCTCCTAATCTATATCTGTGCTCTTTCCCCATCTGAGCCTCTTATTAGCCTTTTATTGCTCTGTAACCTATTCAAAGGCCACATTAGAATATCGCCTGTGAAGCGGTGAGTCTCGGGGCTCGAGGTATTCGCATCGTAAAACATAAACGTGCTGCTTCAGGGTTAATCCGTGGCTCGCAGGAAGCAGTGCTTTAACAGGATGAGTCCAGGTGAAGACACACAAAAGCAAAGTTAATGGGTGACAAACTTCAGTGATGCTCTGCTGCTCCTGCCGTCATTAACTCTAGCCCAGTGAAATCCCACTGTGCTGAACGACCGCTGCGTCTGCCCGTTCTGTTATAGTCAAGTAGTGTAATCAAGTAGGTTGTTTGAGGCTAATAAGGTGTTCCTTGATTAAACTGCTCGTGCACAGTTGTAACCAGGATGGAGTTTGCTTGGAACAGCACGTCCCGTGTTTAGGAAGCAGTCGAGTCTGGTCGGGTTCTGGGCTTCAATAAACAGCTCCATCCAGTATAAATAGCAGAGCCTTTGGTCTGTTGCCACTGCGGCCGAGCGCAGCAGCAGCAGGGAGGAACAGCTGTAGTCGCTCTGTCGCCGAGGACAGATCACTCCTCAGCCATCCTGCCAGTCTTCTCTGTGCAGTCTAACATGAGCAGCGCTTGAGGACCACAGAGTCTGCTGGAGGGCCTTGCTGTAATTTCAGCCCTCTACCTACTGCACGCACCTGTGTCTGTAACTGCAGGTAATCCAGTGGCTTGCTGTGTACCTTTGTGTTCTGTTTTAATACGTTTAAGTATTTGTCACAAGGGGAATGTGCCAAAAGGCGTCTCCCTTAGCAACAAAGAATTTTCCCACTCTGTAGTTTCCATCAGCTTTATATTGCCTCAATGTCTTTCATTGTTTTGGTTTTATATCCCACAACTTTGTTTGGGTTTAGTCTCACCGCTCTCATCAGCTTGGTTTCCACCTGCAGCGGGCTGATGCTTCCTGTCGGAGCATGTCAGATTTGGTACTAACCACGGAAACATGAGTGCGAGGATTTTACCAGTCTCAGTGTGTCGAATCTTTGTTTCAAAGCCACTGGAATCTCACAAGTATATACAATGTGTCATTTTACATTAGTGTCATTATGCACCAAGTTCTGGAAATGGGTCGGTGAGTATCTCATGACCAATTTATTAAATATGGACACTTTGTGTGCAAGCCAGACGTCACTGTATGATTGAGATCAATTTTAGAGCCTGATCAAATTAATGGGCGGGGCTGATAAATTGGCCGATTTTAGCTGTTTGCCTGTATGTCTGTATCGGCTTTTATAACGGCTGATAAATTAATGAATATTGGAAAAAGTAAAGAACAGGCGGGAGAAACGCCCTTATGAATGTCGTTATGAATGTCGATGTTGCACAATTTGTCCACTAGAGGGCACCCTGCAACATCCCGTATGGTTAGAACACTAAAACCTGATGTTCTGAGCAGAGTGCGGCACAGCGTAAACTATTCATCCGTAACTCGTTGTCATAATAAAACAAGATCTTCATGTCAGTGTCTATTTCATATTCTTTATTCTCCCCCCCCCCCCCCCCCTCTTTCTTAAATAGATAACTATCATATCTGATATCATATCTCACAGTACAATAATATTGAATGGGTTGCATTGTTGTATTTTGTCATGTTTCTCAGGTCTTTGTCTGAATTTCTACGAACATTATTGCTAAGGATTGTCTTATTGCATTGGAGTCACACTGGGTTAAATATGTACACTTGGGTTTTAAGGGGTATTTATTATTTTCTTCTTTTTTTTGGGTTGTATGGAAGCCCCAAACGCAATTTCATTGTTCTTGACAATGACAATAAATAAATACTATACTATAAATTCACATAACAAATGTTTATTTCCCATGTCCCAAAAAAAATATCCCCTAACATGTCAAATTTTCAGATGAGCAAATATTGGTCTTATAGTGGCCGGGCTCTAATAATTTTTACATCAATGTAACAATTGGCAGGAACATTTGTATAGAACTTTAAAGTTTCCAGGTAAATAAATAAATAAAAGTCAAACTGAATTCTCCTTGTTACTATGAAATGTGGGCTAGTTTAAAAGAGGCTTTCAGGTGGGTGATGGTGCACTTGGCTCTGATCCCAGAAAAGTGTCTAAAAAGGAAGGATTAGGCTGGGTTAATTGGATAGATGGTTCAAAAAGATTAGGTACTGCAAGGAGCATTACTTTACCCCATCAGCTCGATGCACTGAACAACAGAGGGCCTGACTGTAAACACAGCGTCCAGATATAGTGTGTTAATAATGTGCCAACAGAGCTGTCAGCCTGCAAGGAGACACTGTGCTGGAGATGCTTGCCCTCAGTGCTGTTAGGTTAGGTGTTAAACAGGAAGTTGATTGTTACATGGAGGAGTGGGTGGATGGTTATGATCTGCCAAAAGAGTCACATATACGTGCATATGTGTAGATGTATAGATAAAGAGAAGTACTGGACAAACTAAACTGGATCCTATAACGACACTAGATGAATATTTATCAAATACCATGATTACTTTTTTGTCCAACAGTTTTTGATACAGTTTACTTTTGGTGAAAAGGAAATCACTAAAGTCTGTAGATGTCTGGCACGTCTGGGTGCAAAAGCTTGCAAAGATTTCATGTTGATCAGTCAGACCAGGTATGCTGCCACACTATGTAGGCATTAAGGACACGTATAACACAACCACAGGCTAGAAGGAGCCCGGGATTGAACCACCAACCTTGCTCTACTTCTACCTATTGAGTCAAAGCTGCCTGGAAGTCTTCGCTACTCTAACCCTAAACAACTGTATGCTTAACCTTGACAACAGGCCCAGTTTGATGGTTCCTTTTCCATATCCGTCCTGCTGCAGGTCCTTCAAGCCAGACTTTGTTCTGATTCGCCAGCACGCCTACAGCATGATTCCCGGTGAGGACTTCAGGAATCTTGTCATCGGCCTCCATTTTGGCGGCGTCCCGAGCGTCAACTCCATCTTCTCCACATACAACTTCTGCAGCAAACCCTGGGTGGTAAGCGCTCCGTAACGGCTCTCTTTGCTATACTTTCACCCACACAAAGGTGTCGCAAAGTCCCTCCCTCGGCAGCTGCCTCCGACTGATTTATTTGTGCTATTAAATGGAGCTGCAACACCTGTGATTTGAGCCGGCCAGCAGAGCGGGCAGCCTCGGCCACCACGTGTTTTTAGTCACTTTGTGCTGAGAAAAGCTACAAAAGCGCAGTGAAAAGTGTGTAGATGCTTGGCTTTGAAAGAGGTCTTAAATTTAGGTTTAAAGCAGGAAATATGCAGCACAGTTTTGTTAAAGGTGCCATTCTTCACTATATATTTACAGTTCTGTTACTCATTCTACAAACCACAAGTTAAAAAATGAGGTGGTTGATCACCAGTAAGGCACCCATCATGCTGTATATGTTAACCAACTGCTGAATGCAACACGTTTAAAACAATGAACCGAAGCAGGTCTGAAGACAAATCTATTGGAAAGGAAATTCCAGCACCTCGAGAATAAATAACTCCAAGAAAGTATTACCTCGGGGTGTAAGCAAATGGATTATTGATTTTAGAAGAACAGGTGTTCAAACCCTCACACTAACAGGTGGGTCTGACTGTACCAGGCCACATTTTATAAACAAAAAAAAAAAAACCTGGAGTTTCAGACGATCCATGTCCTCTGCTCCTAAAAGTTGTTAACACGCATGAATCTTATAGAAGTTTCTGTTTGTCCTCCTTGAATAATGACGTCTTCCTGTCTTGTTTATTTCTGCTTGCAGTTTTCTCAAATGATTAAGCTGTACCGCTCCCTCGGCCCTGAGAAATTCCCCCTGAATGAACAAACTTTTTATCCCAACCACACACAGATGGTGAGTGCCTCGCGGATATTATTCTTTATTTCAACGGGGGGGTCACTCTCACGGATGTGCGCAAAAATCACCAAAGACCTCCTGTGGAGCATTTTTCAGTAAGTCTTTATTATAAAAATATAAAACACAGAAATTAAGTCAAACATTTCTACAACCCCAACAAGGAAATATCCCCAACCCACATAATTCATAAATCAGTGTTTACACACAGACTGTACACAGCTTCCTTGATTGGATTTTTTTTCCTTTTGACTGATTTCTGTGTTAAGCAGATAGTATATTTACATAAACATGAACCACAGAAATAATGACACAGAAATACCACAGCTGGAGGAAGAGCTCATTATGTATGGAGGTGAAGAACAATAAACTAAATACTGCTGAAAGATTCAGTCATTAAAAAAAAAATTCAGTAAAAAAATAAAAAATAAAATAATAATAATAATAATAATAATAATAATAATAATAATAATAATAATATAGAATTTTGTAGAAATTAAAGGGATAAAAAAAAAAAAAAAGGAAAAAAAAAGTGAAACATAACCAGAAATGGACCATAAATGAAACACAACCTAGTTAGCCTAGCTTTACATAGTCTGGAAATAGCACAGCTAGCAAAACTCACACCATCTCAACATATGAAACATACACAGTAGTGTTTGAACGAATTTTAAAACACCATAGTTTGTCCTTCCTCTCTACTATGCTATGCGAGGCAGTTTACAGTATCCTGCTTTAAGCTACCATAAACTAGGCTAAATCACTGCCAAAAATAGATGCATAATTAGCACAAACATGTCAGAGTGATATCAGTATTCTTTTAGCAAACCAACAGTTTCTGTGCTTGGCGCTCTCTTAGCATAAATTACGAATGGGCTCTTCCTCTTTGTGAGGCCAGTCTGTGTCCGTTATTGGAATGGAATGAAGGGAAGTAAAAATAAGAGAAAACCCCAGACGGGAACAGGCGAACAAGAATGAATTTAGTGACAATATATTGTTACTTTCATTTATATATAATGTTCATCTCAAATAGTTAAATAAAAAAGATTGAATATACACTTACAAAATATGTCCTTCTCTGAAACCTCTGTTATAGTTTTAATTTTATCGGATTGGTAACGAGTACCAGCTTGGGGGGGGTGTAGGGGATTATAATGAAGCCAAAAAAAACCAAACTACCATAATAGTACCATAATGTTGAATTTGCTGATGCTGGTGCTTCATTTAATACACTGCAGTGAGTTCATGATATTATTTGGCCTGTTTTTCTTTTACGCACATATACCACATAGTATAACCCAATAAACATATAAATAAATGTAATAGAGGTTTCAGATGAGTTGATTTCTGTAGCTTATTTTATATACAGCAACAAATAAAATATCACCATCTCTGCAAGAAATCGGGCGCTTCCCCGCGCTGGCACTGTGTTACTTTTGTGAAGCAGTGCGCAACAGTCGCGTTAAAAACAGGAAGCAGACTTACTACCATTATAAAGACGTGTGTGACAGTTCAAACTGAACATAACCGATACTTCACTGTGAAACATTGTCCATTTCACAAAGGGGTTTGAAGCCAAAATAGACGTGTATCTTTAACATATATAATATGTTGGCGCTGTTTCGGCCATGTTCGGTATATTGATAGCAACAAGCTAGCTTTACTCAGCAAATTTACAAAGGATCATCTTCGTAGTATACTTTGTCTGACACCTCCTGGCTTTTGCTTTAGAGACTTCTCCTCGTTCAAATGATCCTGACACTAGCTACTAGCTAAACTGCAGGTTGCTAATTGAAGCCAATGATACTGATGCTGTAAATAATACTTATGATTAAATCTTTTCAGAAGCTCTCAGTAGGTGGAGCGAGGTCTTACACTTTTTATTGGCCCTTTCTGTCTTTGTCACCGATGTCAACTTGGTGCAAAGGACGGAGTTTGTAGTACAAGGAAAAAGGAGCCACAGGACAAGCTGTACAAATAAAGGGAGGGTGGGGGGTATTATTTTCTATCAGAAGTGCTACAAACAGGCACTGTAATAGATTTGCTCTTTTTTTTTTTCCTTTATTACCCCTTTAAAAAGGGGGACATCACCCAGGCAGGTGAGCTCGAACAGTCCTGTAATACTCTAAACGTGACCAGGGATGGGACGGAGTTTGGGAGGCGGCAGCGAGCTTCAGTCAGAGGGCGTTTGTGTTCAGGGGTCAGTGGCATTGATGGTGGTTTTATCACGGGTGGTCATGCCTCGGTACCAGCTGCAGTAGCCCTCCTTCTGCTGGATGCAGGCGTAGTGCCGGGACTGGTAGCCGGGATAACCGAAGTGGGACAGCATGTCCGTCCATAAGCACTCGTTCTTGGAGGTCACGAAGCAGGGCAGGTAGTGGCAGGGCTTAATCTACAGAGAAAGGAGAAAAACCCGAGATGAAGCCTGACAAGCACTATCCCATGATTTGGCATGTTGCTAGAACATACATGATACTGAGTTATAACAGCTTTTTATTAGTGCTGTCAGCGTTAACCTCGTTAAAATAACGTTAACGCCATAACCACATTAACGCGGCAAATCTCCGTTAGCGAGTTAACGCGGATGGCCCCGTGCGTGGGGCGGCACGGCGTCAATGCGTTCGCGCGGTTAGCACGTTAATAAGTTAACGCCATCATTTTAACGCTGACAGCACTACTTTTTATATTATAACTAAATATCATACCATAGCGCTAATTATCTTAGCACTTATTAGCTTTGAAAGAAGAGGTTAAAAATGGCGGAAAATGGTTAGACTAGTTGAGCTTGGATCTGGCTTCCTAGTTAGCATAGCAAAAAGACAAATGAGCAGATTTTGGCAGTATGAAAGATGTTCCCTGAATACTTAAACAATTTACCGACTGCGTTTTCTCAAATCCTAAAGTACTTCGAGTTTACAGTATTTAGGTTTATTTATGGTTCATTATGAATTAGCTTAATGAGTGCTAAGAAAAATAGCTTGGATCTTCAAAAACACTTGACATGAAATACATGCTTGGTGAAGCAAGCAAAACATGCATCTTTGCTCTACTGCCTTTCAGCGTTTGCTTTCAGGGATTTACTGCAGAAGATTTATTGATCTGATGGGACTGGGGGAAAAAATGGCAGCTCTCTAAATAACTAAGCTCAAACCCAGTAAGTCTACACTGGCACGTGCTGCTTTGTGCGACGGAACGTTGACATCTTCCTGAAGCAGCGAGAGTTTTTTGTAGTTTGTTAAGGATTCAGTTCGATGTTAGCCTTTTGTGCGTCACCACTCCAGGTGCTCACACAAAAAGCAGCTTCACAGATGAATATACAGCCTGAGGTGACAGGAAGATTCGCATAACTAACCGGGGCGCTGCGTAACTGAGTCGTCACACATATCTGGATATGAATTCAGCAGCAAATTCAATTAGTACATTAAAGGCCACGTTTGCCATTTTTGGCTGCTTTTGTTACTCAGGCCAAGAAAGTTTATCCTCCGTGGCTCAGAGATGTCTGACATAACTTCTCAGTTCGAGTGCTTCTAACGATCTGTAGAGAGTAATAAAACTGCCACGACATGCTTCTTCGCGCTCCAGTGCCGTAAGTCCTCATTTGTGAAGGAATGCGAAGGACAGAGGAGCTGGTTTTTTAAAACAGTGCAGTGATTTCTGTGTCTGCTTTGCGCTTAAGGGTCGTCACCGTGACGCCTCAGCTGATTGATTGCCTCCTTCGATTGCCTCTGGGCTGCTGCCACGTACAATCTGAGCACAGTTTACTTGCTTTGGCCCGTATTGGGAACAAACAGGTCTCCCTGCTAATCCACTTATACTGATAGGGGCCCGGCGCGTTAGCAGATGTCCGCGGCGCCGCTGTACAGTAGGATGTTTATGAGGCGTTTCGGCAGCTGCGCAGCAGCAAGCTACATGTGTGAGTCACATGAAATGGGAGGCTTGAGCCGATTCCAGACCTGTTACTTAATTCCCTGTGACAGTAGTAAAACTTGTTTTTTTCTCCATTTCTATCCCAGCTAAACATCCGTGATGAATAATAGTGGGAATTAGACTCTTAAAAAGGAGCTCATATTTCAGTCTTGATAAAAAATAATCCATTCAATGGCTTGCAGTAGAATTAATGATTGATTTGATTCTTCACACAGAGCCACCATAACTAAGTATACACATCCTTCCTCTTGTACTGTTTAAATCCCGTTATATTAATCAACTTTATAAGTGGTCATCCAGCAGGATAACATTTAGTTGCCTTTGGAAAAATGGGCAGCAGTAAGCTCCTCTTGAGCCTCGTCTTCCCTCATCTATCATATCCTTGTTGGGACAAAGGTTGCCTGTTGACACTCACCCTGCAGTTGCAGCCCAGCTGGTAGCGATGGTTGATGCCTTTCTTCTGCGCCAGCGAGAGGCGCTCCCACCGCTCGTTCAGGTTGCACAGCCCCGTGTAAACCTTGCCGTCGTAGACTCGTCCTGTGGAAGCACAGGATATTTGGATGTCACTCTTAGATTGTGTTCTCACCTCTGTACAAAACGATGTTTAAGTACCTCTTAGTCTTTAAAACGGACTCTGGAGTCATGCAAACAGATGTGAGGATTTGGCGTTTTTCTTTGCCAGACACACACATGACAAACTGAATCTTCGACTTTGGACCAACCAACAGAACGACATTATCGACCTAATTCGCAGAAATTTTTATATTTTCCAAGGCCTTAAGGAGCCTTACAACTGTATTTACTTTGCTCTCTCTGGCGCCCAATAAAAGCATCTGTACTTGATTAATGTGTAAAGACCCACACATTAATCCCGACTCAGGTCACGATGCATGCATGCCACTTATTTCGTAATAGTTTCAGTATAACACAGGATACTGTAGTCCCATCACTCAACCAGTCCAACTTATTTGCCCATGGTAAGACAATATCATACAGTAAGCCCATATTAAACCAGCACCTCTATTTCTGGATATCAAAATGTCAGCAGACATCTATTTTTAGTGCTGGACCATTTGCACCTTACGGACTCCCGAGACAGGTGCACAATGGCACACTGCATGTGCTCGGGAACGTTTCGATGTCATCAGTGTTGTCACCTCATGGGAATGTGACAGCTCACAAATATGTGCATCTTCGACCCCCAGTGCACCTCCCAATCGGCCTGCATCGTTGCACTGGGATTACTGGAGTCGCTTGCGGGTTTATTACATGGTGCAGAGTGTGCGACATGCACCTAAAATACTAATCGGGGTCAGCGCCCTTATGCTTGATCAAAAGAGATTTTTGCAGCTCACGCTGGAGGCCTCGGTGTGTTTAAATTGTTCTTAATACAATCCTAATCATATGGAGTTCTTTCTATAGATGCCCTGGCAGGAGCGAAAGACACTGATGTCCCCTCGCACCCGGACTGGGTAAACATAGCAGTCACTGCCCAGCAACGCCAGCTCGTTGGCTTGCACTGTGCGGTGCAGTTAGAGTATTTACAGGTCGGGACTTAGCGACAGTTATATACACCAAGCACAGCAGGGTCCAAAGTAAACTGCACCTCTGTTAGAAATAGCAACTCATAAAGTGCTTCTGCTGGAAAATGCCAGTCGCTTCCTGCTGGCTGCTAATTACGAGTTGTGTGTGAGAGGAAAAAACAAAACAAAACTGCAGTTTCTAGACGGCGAAGCTAAGGGAAATGAGTTTTAAGAGGGCCATTCCTTTGCCACCTTGCACGGTGGCAAACAGTAGGTTGTAATTAGTGGGAAACTTTGTGTGACAGGATAAACCAAGAAATCCTTGGGGAGGAGAAGTGTGTGTATCTTGCAGTGATGCTGGCTGGAAGGCCTCTGAATGTTTTCAGCACCCATTTGGTGATAAAATGGATTCAGTTTGGATTTAATCATGCCACAAGCTCAAAAAAGGATATATTGAGAAAGAGTGTTGCTAACAGTTACACGTCCTCTGAGACTGTCACATACAAGCAGTCGCTAAGTTTATGTTATTACGAAACAGACAGCAAGTGGTCAGTTATAACTTTCTCTGGTGCTATCACAAATGATTACCTGAAGCCATTTATCAGAAATGCCAAAGGCAGTAAAATCAAATAAAAAACAGTTATTTTGGACAATCAAAGACCTTCACAATGAGGATATTTTGTAAAAGCAACTTTCAGCTCTTATCCCACCTCCATACCCTTTAAAAGGCCTGTTTGATGTTTGATGGCTGAGAGTTAAGTCAGAATTAGGTGCCAGTTACACTCGGGGTAAAGCTTTGGCACTTAGCTGTGAACATTCAACTCGGGGGAGGAGTCTTTGGAATGCACCAATTAATCTCCTCATGAAGACGTGACTCTGAGCCCCTCCCCCTACACACAGAGTGGAGCAGCCACTCCAGAATGCTTTTTAACCGAAAACTAATTTTAACCAAAACGTAATCATTGCTTGTTCCACTTACATTAAACTCGGCACTAAAAATGACTGAGGAGCAGACAGCCATCGAGCAAAGCTGGATAGCTTAGCTTAGAGTTTCCTTCATATAATTTGATTACGGTGACATTTTCTCCCTTAGCACAGATTTCTGTAAACGTTGCATAGCCTCACTTTGAGAGGGTTTCTCACACTTAACGTTGATTATTTCAACAGTCTGAGTAAAAATCAGTCGATCAGAGCAACGCTCAAAACCACGGCTCACCTGTGATCAGGTACTGGTATTTGTTGATGTCAAACTTCACACCGCACAAACTCTCCGAGGCGTCTGTGTAAATGTGCTGCACATGCTGGACTTTTTCAAATCCTTTGTACATCTGTAAGACATGAGAATCAAACATAGAATTACACCCCCATGCTCTTTAAAAATAGGAAAGTGTAATGTTTCTGCACCATGGCACTCCATCTCTTCCTCAACCTCCACATATAAATAATGACGAATGGAAACAGCACACTGGCTTTATCAGATGACATTTCTTAAGGAGCGCCTCAGGGGAGAAGGAGTATTTGGCTCTGCCCTCAACCTAATCATAGATAACATAGCTACGTTGTGTAATATGCTTTCACTTTGATGGCGTTTTGGCAAGGTCACTGCTAAAATCCAGTCCTTCCATTCAGCTCAGTCATGTAGAGCCCGAAGTGAATGTTTGCTCTGAGAACTTTCTGGATTTTTCTTCCCCTGGCAGTGTAATCTATTTGTCTGGGAACAACAGGAAATCCCTGTTTAGATGCGGCGTTCTGAGAAAAGCAGAACAAACTGTTACTTAAGCCAGAAACTGTGGCACTTTGGGAAAGCCAAAGGCACAAGTCTCATAGGATCTGTTGAAATTTGAAAGGAATTGTGCAAGTTATTAGAGCAAAGCACTGTTTTCAGTACAAACCAGCAGACTGAAATACAAATAAATAAACCAAGAGGCTCAAAGGCCACGTCTAATTGCTGAGGATAATCCCAGCGTGGCACCTGCTATGCTTCGCCATCAACAGGCCACTTGATGTTTTTGTTACAACCTGGGATTTTACTGATGCATCGCATGACTCTACTGAAATATTTACACTCAGAGTGAGGAGTTTGGTTGAGCTCTAATGCCCGAAAGCCTGCTAATCCTCCAGCCTGGCTTCTATCTGAGCAGCAGGCCGATGTCAGCATCTGTCAGAAATATGCAGCGTTATGTAAGAATATAGAGGAAGTAAAGAATGAGCTTTCAGGGCAAGTATCCTGAAATGCTTTTCAGCTATTACACGGCAGCTGAGGGGGCGGAGAGACAGCATTGTAAGTAAAATGTAACAAGCCACGATATGTAGTCAGTTATACTTAAAAATGAGAGCAAAGATTGGTCTTCAGTTGAAAAGATGCAGAAATTTTACAATTTATTTGCTTCAGATTAAAAAACAACAACAAAAGCCTTAAATATGTGACAACACTGGGGGGGAAAGCCAATCTTTACTAATAATAATCAGCATATTTCTTTCCTGTAGTGTGACAAAAGAAAACTAGATAGGCAAGCCTCATACATACACGTATGTGTGGATATTTTCAGGCTATACAGGTAACGTCCCATGTCAGCAGATGTCATGGTTTCATGGAGCTCAGGATTAACTTGTCATCACTAGCTAGTACATATCATTAGCTAATAATAGCAAAATTCTTTTTCTCTGTTCATGAGAGCTAAAGAAAAATGTATAGAAATCTTATATAGAGACCATTTTAGAATATTTAGATAGTTTGTGATTGGCTTAGTTTAGCAGAAGAACTGGAAACAACCAGCCATTTCTGTAAATGTCCAGTCAGTTGCTAATATGACTGAGTTAAATATGGCGCTGTAGTATAGTTAGCTATACTATAGCGGGGAAAAAACAAAACTTCGATATTGTTAAACTACTCTGTTATTTGTATAACATGTTATTTGATCCTGTTTTTGAAATGTAAACAAAAGCAAGATTAGATGTTTCGTTCCTTTTGGTCGTTTGCTACGTGTCCTGGAAATCTCTTCTTGGTCATGTTATTGCACAAACACAGGAATTAAACTGAAACTTGCCATAAAAGGATTTTGCTTTCTGTAGCTTTGTATTTAACTCAGGCAAACAGCATCGGATTAAGCAGATGTTTGTTCTCACCTTCATTTGCTTGACGGTGTAGCGCATGGTTCCAAACGGTCCATCTCTCAGGAGCTTCTTGCCCACCACTTTAGCTCGAATCACTGTGAAGAGAGGACACAGGTGCATTCCTGTTAGCGTACAACTTTCCAAGCAAATAAACACATTGCTTCTGTTAAATGCCGTTTCAGGACCAGGTGGCACCACAGTTAACCATTTATCCAATTTTCTGCATTACTTCCATTTGCTGAGAAAGCCAATAGAGAAAAATCACTAAAGGGAACAATGAGTTTGATACAGAAATGGAAGGAAAAGAGTCTGAACTAGAAAGACATGGATGTCTGCAAATAACTACTCTAGGGCGGGATTGGAAAAAAAAAAAAAAAGTCATGTTCACCGTTATTAACTTTTGACCATCTGAATACTAGATCTTCACATAATTAGGAAAAAGTGTGACTTTAAACAAAAACAGGGTCCCATCTTTGGGAGTACAGCTTGACAGCGATCTTATCAGAGTGCAGGACCCTCATGTAAATGTTGGCGAGGTGAAAATGCTTAGCAGCAAGTTTGATTTGTTTGCTTTCACTTGTGTTGGCGTAAGGGGGCTTATTATGAAAGGCCAGGAACTGGGAGTGTACAAAACGAGTGATCATTTGAGCTGCTGCTTCAGCGCCTACCTCGAGCTGCGGGCCCTGCATGAGCTTTCAGTCCCGCTCTGAAGTTCACCTGCTGCCCAAAGCCCAACAGCCACAGACACAACTAACACTGACTGTGTTTGTTATCTTCTCCCTGTGGAATTTCCTGCCCAGATTCTTTGGGGTTTCACATTCCCCAGAAAGGGGGAGAAAGAAATGAGGCATGTGGCATCTTCTGTTGGATTTCTGTTTGTCTAGCTGTCCTGCTAAAAGGCAAAAAGGAAATTGGGCATAAAACTACAAGTCAAATAGGAAGCTATTACAGCATGGCCACCCAAAAGTGGTGACCACAGATTTATTTTAGTTATACGGTCCCCTATTTGAACCGAGACTTTATTTATGCAACACACCAAATCCTATTTTGAAGCAGTAAATTGAGCAATGCAGCCATCCAGGAGCCTCAAACAGATTTTGTGTTACTTTTCATTCATTTCAGTCTTCTTTAGTAGAAAGCCTCACTTTCAGTGTCACTTTGCAGCAAAAATGCACAGCGCATGTGGTGGCATTTTGTTAACTGTCACTGTTAATGTCACCAAATAAAAGATTAAATCACATTAAATCGTAAATAAATTAAAAAAAACAAAAAAAAAAACATGGGTCACTCCTTCCAGATTAACACACTGTTCAGAGCCCCTGCCTGCCCTCTACTTTCTGAACTTTTCCAATAACTTGGTGCACAGCATTTGATCCATTAACCTGTCAGCTCGCTCTATATGAACTCAGGAGCGCTGCTATATGATCAACCTCTGCTAAATGTATCTAAATGCTGTCTGACAGACGTCTGCAGCTGCAATTACAACAGCACAGGAGCACAATTACACAGGAATGTGCAGATATAACTGGATACTTTTGCCTCATTTCAGTACACTGCCGCCATTATTTTCAAATGCCACCCGAAAACACAGTTTCCTTCTCTGCCCCGGCCTCAAAACCAACCCTCAGGACTAACAAATGTTTGTGTTTGAAGAGTCACAGGTCAGCTGATTTAGCTGAAGTACATCCAGATAGGACCCCTTCGTTTTTCTTTAGACGAAAGCCACTAATTGGCCTGTGATAATAAGTGTGACGCACCAAAGACAGGATTTCCTCGATTGACCTCCTCTGCATTCAGCAGTTATATTTGCAAATGACCGCAGAGTTGCCAGCTCACATATTTAAACCCATTTCTCACATTACCCTGGTTCATCTGGAAACTACAGGTATACTAAGTAGGTACTTTCTAAACTTCTTTTAGTGTTTTTGATTGACTCAAAGTTAGCAAACTACGCTAGCTAACCTAGCCTGGCTTCCAGGTCTAAAAAAGGAAGTCAACAGCACTTCCAGCCTTAAATGTGTATTCTTTTTAATGGCCAGCAGGAGGCGATCATCTGATTGCAAAATATAATTAATTTGTATAAAAACATTTAGTTTATCAAAGCTAATATTTTAGTAAAACACTTTTCTTATTAGTTTATGGGGATCATCACCAGGTTCAATAAAACCTGAAGTTAGATTCAAATAAAGAACATAATTTACAAAATTACAGCCATCGTTTCTACGGTTAATGAGTGGAAGCTAGGTAACCTAGCTAAGAGTGATAATGATTGGAAAAAAAAAAAAGTTTGGCTTTAACAACTTTTGAACTAAACCAAGTAAAATAACACGTGTAATAGTTTTGTTACAAAAATGTATTTTAATGTCAGTCATGTATTACCTGGCTGAAGGTTCACTCCATCTTGTGAGATAAATATATTAACTATTGATATATGATGTAATATTAACTATTACAGCATGTTAAGTTTAGGTTAGCGAAACCTAACCCGGGCTTATGCAGTGTTCTTGCTATTGGAACTGTCAGTGACGAGTGAGGAGGAGGAGTCTTTCCCTGTGGTTGTCACTGCAACTGCAAGTGTGACTAAAATATGTATGAAGAAAATTTTGATCTGGAAGCACCCTCATGAGAAGAAATTAATCTCTTTGCGCAACAAAAGCAGTGGGCTAGGCCCAGAAAGGAAAGAAAGTTGACCTCAAGTAGTTCACCAACCTATTGTTATTCAAAACAGGCTATAACCCCCCACCCTCTTCCGCCACTACCTCCCCTCAGAACACTTTCCTTGTGACGCACAGAGATTCATCTTCTGCTGAAGACCTGACACACATTTTCAACAGTGGGAGTCTTTTTGTCATAAGAGAGGTAAACAGGAAATAACCTGAAAAAAAGAAAAGAAAAAAAAATCCCCCTCCACTCTTGCCTGAAGCAGGCGATTACACAAGCATGGATGCAAATGCTAAGTCTTAAGGTGAGCGTTTAATTTAGTTAAACATTTAGCCAGCCTACGTACAATGTGGCAAACTGCAAGCATGGCAAGAATAAGGCTAGTCGTTTGAGTGTGTCTGTGGATGTGTGAGGGAGAGGAGGAAAGCAAGGCACGGGGCGCGTGACGCCGATTTTGGTATGCAGAAAGTTGTCCAAGCTTGAGGAGGCGAGTAGGAGGAAGAGGAATTCTCAGGACGACACACTACCACGCTCAAAAATAAACACTGAAACCGAATCCCCAATGCAGAGCTTTATGTCAGGTGAAAAACACTGGCGCAGAGAGCATGCAGCGCTCGCTCACATGCCAAATGGAGGGAAGCTTATGAAGCACAGGGATTTTTCTTTCCTATCACTCTGATAGCATGATGGTCGATTTCTGCCAAATCAAATATAAGAACCTAACAGTCTTTAAATTTGGCTTAAATGTGCTCAAACGTAGCAGACTTCTTAAAAAGTACCCAACTGTAATGTCAGTCATCAAGCTTCTAGCTAATATTTAAGCTAAGTGAATACCAACACACAGCTGGTAATGCCAGACAAAGCAAAGTGCAGTGCATGAAAACGAAAATCCATTTAACTGCCTGTGAATTCAACTTCTTATTCACCAAATTAGAAAGTTGATTTCCCTTCATTAGAGGCTCCTGCGGGATCGAGCGACAGGAACCTTGAACCAACTACTCGTTTAAATGTTGCCGTCACGCTAGCAGACCTCAAAAATGCTAGTTGCCAGAGTTAAAATTGGTACCCTTTTGCACACTTTGGCCAAAGTATCTAAAACACAGCATCGTGCTCTACAATGAAACCTTGTATCTAAATTAGGGAGTATGCTGAGAAAGCTCTGGGAAAGGCAGTCACAACCCAACACTGGGTGCTATCTGTGCATCTGACTACCTTTGCACCTGCTTTGCATTTTCCTCTTCTTGCTTTTTATCTTTGCCACTCACAGACTTGCTGTTACTCACTCAAATCACCAGCTGCCGTTCACCTTTTTACCTGTTAGACTGCAAGTGTTGCGTAAATCTTGGTAACACTGACAGTTAGAGGTCAGTATAGATCAAACAGTACTTGTTACTATTCTTTCAAGTTCGCTAACCTTTAATAAACATACTGAAGCTGAATAAATGACAGTTTTTTGGTTTATTCTTCATTGTGTTTTCATGTATGAGTGTTGTACCATTGTGCGTCGCCCCTGTATTGGCCTCTTGTTTTGGAACAGTTAACCTCTGGGTGGCTGTGTGGTCATTAGAAGGGAAGGGCGGGCTGGACATTCGATACGCCTGGCTCAGGGGACGAACATCCCAAGCTTGTATGGAATCCAGACTCTTTGACATCTCCTCGAATTTTAACTCACTTGAGGAAAAGTATAAAAATCTGATCCAAGCTTACATAATTCAACGGTGGGGGGAGAGAGCAGATGCTGCTAAAGGGAGTAGCTATTTACCTGAATGCTACATAACTCATTAATAGGAGGATGAGGTCACAAAGCTCAATGCCATGCATCGCTCTAAACCCACTATGCTTTGCTTGTTTCACTAAGCTCCTCTATGGATAGCAAACATCCACAGTGGGGCAGGATCCTTTCTTTCAATGGCCTGATCCCCAATCCCAAACCGAGCATAAACACATATCACGCTAATCCTCAGCTTCTAACTCGGTTTACAGCGCAAGCATGTAAAAGTTTGCTCCTGTCACCTCCAAGCATTTTGGGAATGAGCGGCATTACGAAGCAATATTGAATTTCATGGTCAAAGCTTACTCCCAGACCTCTAATCTTGCTTCGGGAGGGCTTTGGAAATACAAGTGCTGCACATTTCCTCCTTGTGAATAGGCTGCTTTAACCCAGTTGCCTAGTAGAGGCCAACAAGGTCTTTGCATAAGGCAGCAGCCAGGTCATTGCCCAGTGCTCAGGTATGTAGCAGGGGAAAAAAGAAAACAACAAAAAACAACCAGCTACAACTCTGCCAACTCTAACAGTAGGCAGTACATTTTGGGCCTTTCTATCACGTGACCACAGAATAAAGTCTAACACAGACGGGAAACTGCAGCACATGCATGCTTTTGTATGTCACAGTTTTAGATTTGTCAAGTAAAAAGGAGACATTCTGCAATAACCTAATTTTCAACCCCTTTAACCTAATTGTGATTCATCCAGTGGAGTGCCTGCGGGTGATTGTGGGTCAGGGCCAAGAAACCAAGAGGGAAAATGCTTTGAACTCCACTGATGGTCTTAAATTTGGAAGATACAGGCTTGTTGCCTTTGATGTTGACGTTGAGAATTACAGCCCTTCTCTCCTGTCAAATGAGCATTTCAACCCTATGCCGTGTTGTTTTCCACGTCTCCGAGTCCAGCGAAGAAAGCAGGTTTCAGTTTGAGTTGACAGAACGAAAAAAAAAGACATTCAGCCTAAAACAACAACAATAAAAAGATCTCTACACCAGTTATACAGCTAAATTGTCCATGATTTGGTAATTGCACATGCTGGGAGGCTACACTTGACCCAGAATATCCTGTGAGCATGTGACCTTTTAGTGTTTCTGAAGCGCTTCTCATCGAGGGACTGGAGGTGCGCAAGCAAACCGCAAGCATTCAAAGCACAACCCAAGCTAAGCTCAGGGCCTTGGAAATGGGATTTGTGGGGCTCACAACTGATCGCTGGCCCCCATTGAAGTCAGTCCCAGATTCTACACTGCAAGTCTCATGGGGTGCCAACACCACAAGCTATCCAAAAGATCTGAAGGACTGTGAAAGGCATCGCTTGAGCGTTTGTCAAACGGGGTCACTTGGCTGAAGACACACCCACAGGCTCTGTGATCAGTCCCCACCAAAGAGAAAACGGCCGTTTTGGGGCTGTAATGTCACAGTTTCTGTTATCTCCCCTTATAAACAGTGGGATCCTCTAAAGTATGACAGGCTAAACCTGCACCACCTCCTCCTTCTCTAAGATGCTGCAGAGGATTCACCAAACCATCATTGTGAGTTGCTGCCCACGTCAGAGCTAAATGAAGTGACTTCCACCTACAGAGGCATGCTGGTTCTGTCCTCGGAATCTGAGCAAAGAGAAGCCTCCTTTTCACAGGCAAGTCTGGCAAAGCCTTAGGAAAAGCAAAGTCTTGTGGAGCGATTATGACACTCTGAGACTGGAAAAAGGAAACTGCAAATGAAATGGCATTTTTAAAGTTACACCGTGTCCTCGATGTGACGTTTTTCTTGCTGCCAAGGGGTAATAAAAATATGTGAACTGAACAGGATGTCAATCGACGAGAGAAAAGCAGGTTTATGAGAGCTGCTGGATTCTGGAAATATGAGCTTTATTATTGTTTATTGATGGTGATCCATATGCTAAATCGTTAAGGTTAACAGAGCATTTCAATGGGAAAATCTACTTTCAGAGTTAGCTGACACCACTAGCTTTGTGCCGGTATGAATACCATGCTGTACATTGAAGATAACCAACGCTAAAGCTTCAAGCTTAGCAATTTAGGTGTTGCTACCTTGATGTTTTGAAACGTGATGTAATGCCTCCAGGCTCATCCTAAACCAAATCCTCCTCTGAGACTAATGGGGACCTCAGACCCCCCAGTACACCTCTACAGAGTTGGATGCTTTATAAGAGTCAGAGGAGTCACCGCCTGCTGGCTGCTGAAGAGAATGCAAGTTCAAGGCACTTAAGCCTTTAAAGTATGAACCATCAAATAATTGCCAAAAAATAAAATCTAACAAAATTACAAATACACCTGTATATGAATTTGGATATATGAGTTTTAGTTTGTGTCATATTTGTTACATACAGCTTTGTTATACTATTTATTGCTTAAATATATATTGTGAATTTAATTGTTTCAGGTTGGGGTGTGTGTTCAAAAATGAAATCACACTGATGATGTAGAAGTCTCAAAAAGTCATGTATCAAATATGGTACACTTTGCATTGCAGGTGTATTATTGAATTCTGACCAATAAGCTGTGTCCATCTTTTATCTACAGTTTATGTTCACTACCTTCAAGTTAGTTCGCTTAGCTTAACTTAGCATAAAGACAATGAAAAAAGGAGGAACCAGCCAGCCTGGTTATGTCCAAAGACTCAGCTATAATTATAAAGTTGAATAAATAATGTCTTCTTTGCTTAATTCATACAAAAGCTTTGGCTGCAGACATCTAAATGTAGTCAAAAGGGCACTTTTAGGAAGTCTGCTTCACCTTTAAGAATAATGGGTATCATTTGTGCAGTAAATTATGATTTGGTGTGTGTATTTAACATGAAGAAGTCTCCAGTTTCATTAAGATTTTAAGGCATCAGTAACTAATGTTCTCTATAATCGTTTTCAGCCTCTACTGGTTACTAGTAGCAAGTACAAGATCATTAACAATGATGTCAGAGTGTGTTCATGTGAATTAGCTGACAGTAGGTGTTAGGGCAAACACGTGGGTTTACACACATGGTAGCTGTGTGTGTGTGTGTGTGTGTGTGTGTGTGTGTGTGTGTGTGTGTGTGTGT